TCTTTTTTTTTTTTTTGAGACAAGGTCTTGCTCTATTGCCCAGCCTAGTGTGCAGTGGCATGATCATAACTCACCATAGCCTTGAACTCTGGGCTCAAGTGATCCTCTTCTCTCAGCCTCCTGAGTAACTGGGACTATAGCTGTGTGCCACTACACATAGCTAATTAAAATTTTTTTTTTTTAGAGACAGGTCACACTGTGTTGGCCAGGCTGCTCTCAAACTCCTGGCCTCAAGTGATCTTCCCACATCGGCCTCTCAAAGTGTTGGAATTACAGGTGTGAGCCAGCATGTTCAGCCAGCTTTCGGCCTTCATCATTGAGTATGATGCTAGCTGTAGGCTTGTGATACTTGGCCTTTATTGTGTTGAGGAACATTCCTTCTGTATCTGATTTATTGAGAGTTTTTATCATGAAAGGATGTTGAATTTTGTTAAATGTTTTTCTGCAGTTACTGAGATGACCATATGGTGTTTGTCTTTCATTCTGTCAGTGTGGTGTATCATATTTATTTAGTTGTATATGTTGAACTATCCTTGCATCCAAGGGATAAATCCCCCTTGATAATGGTGTATGATATCTTTAATGTGCTGTTGAATTCAGTTTGCTAGTATTTTGTTGAGGATTTTTGCATCTATATTCATTGGGGATATTGGTCTGTAATTTTCTTTTCTTGTGGTATCCTTATCTGGCTTTGGTATGAGGATAATGCTGGGCTCATAAAATGTTTGGAAGTGTTCTCTCCTCTTCAACTTTCTGGAAGAGTTTGAAAAAGACTGACATTAAATTAGAAGTGAAAGATTGAAGTTCTTCTTTAAATATTTGGTAGAACTCACCAGTGAAGCCATCTGGTCCAGTACTTTTCTCATTCTTTTTATTACTGTCCATTCTTTTCACCATTGTTGGTCTCTTCAGATTTTGTTTCTTCATGATTTTGTTTTGGTAGGTTGCCTGTTTCTAGTTGCTTATTTATTTTTTCTAGGTTACCCAATTTGTGGATGCATAATTATTCATAGTAGAGTCTTCTGATCTTTCTATTTCTGTGGTATCAGTTGTAACCTTCATGTCTTTTTGAGTCTTAATAGTGCATTATCACTGGATGTACCAAAGTATATTTATGCATTTACCATTTTAAGTACGTCTTGATTTCTTCCAGTTTTGGCAAATTATGTCTAAACATATATAAACATTGGTGTGGAGTTTTTTGTGTACACATATTTTTGACTCATTTGGGTAAATATCGAGGATCATATGGTAAGACTAGGTTTCAATTTGTAAGAAAACTTCCAAATTGTCTTCCAAACTGGCTGCACCATTTTGCAGTCTCACTGGCAATGAATGACAGTTCCTGTTGCTTCACGTCTATACTAACATTTAATACTATCATTTTTTGTGGGGTGGGGTGGGGAGTTCTAGCCATTCTAATGGTGTGTTTTTTGCTTTTTAAATTGATTCAATTAATTTGTTCAAAATAACCAAACAGGTTATGCATTCAACAGGTGTTCTATATTTTGGTTGGATAGGAAACTGCAAACAACATGTCAAAGCAGAGGGGCTTAAACTTTCATATTATTGTTTTGCAAGTCCCACCGTCTAAAAAATGCTTAAAGCAGTGTCCAAATATTGTTAATGTTACTTTCAGGGAGAAGCTCCCTAAAGATGTTAGGTTACAATTTAATCATTGGACAATAAACTTTCACCAAAAGACTTCACATTTCCTAAGAGGAATAACACACAGCCTGGGCATGGCAGCTCATGCCTGTGATCCCAGCACTTTAGGAGGCTGAGGCAGGCCGATTGCTTGAGCCCAAGAGTTTGAGACCAGCTTGAGTAACATAGCAAAACCCCATCTCTACAAATAGGCCAGCATGGTGACTTGTGCCTGTAGTCTCAGCTGCTCCGGAAGCTGAGGTGGGAGGATCCCTTGAGCCTGGGAGGTTGAGGCTGTTGTGAGTCATGATCACATCACTGCACTCCAGCAAGGGCAACAGAGCAAGACCACGTCTCAAAACACAAGCAAACAAAACAAAATTTAAAAAACCACACACACACACAACTAAAATTTTAAAAAGCGACCCCAAACTTTAATAAGATAGTGAATTATGAAGGCAGTTCAAAGAGTGGTAGCTTTGGAATCAGCAGCTGGATTTGAACAATGGTTTTACATTTAATAAGCTGTGTGTGAATTCAAATAATTATCAAACTTTTCTGAGCCTCAATTTACTTGTCTGTAAAACTGGGATAATACACATATTACCAGGATGATTTTGACTTTTAGAGACTATGTTTTTTAAAATCCCTGGCATCCGGTTCTTGGTAGCATAATTGCGTAGCTCTTTAATCTCCCTCATAGTGCCCTGTACATGGTACACAATTAATAAAAATTATTTGAATTCTAGTTTCATTGTTTAATGGAAATGAATTTGAATCATCAAAATTCCCTAGTCTGAGGAAATAGTTGAACTATCCTATAAACACATGAAATAGCTAAAATGTAGTTTCATTTTCTCTGTATTTGCCTGTTTTAAATAGATGAAATATAGAATACACAAGGTATTTTAAATGAAACTTGCTTATAAATTGTAAGCCTTTGATGTATGCTAAAATTTCCAGTAGTTTGGGATTTCTCTGGAATAGCCAGAGATAAGATATTGACTTCAAAGGCAAACTCATGAAATATGCAACAGTCTAGATTCTAGAAACTGGGCAGTTGGCAGAGCTAAGTTACAGTAATTCACCATCTTGGGTTTGGCAGAAATGTGCATACAGTAACTATATTGTCAAAAACCAGAGGCCTGTTCTTCCCTCTGTCTATTCTTTCTCACATAGCTTTTCTTCTAAAACAGAAGAATTACATTTGTGAATATTTGTTTTAAATATTAATAATAAGAAACAAAGCCCACAGGTGAAACATTTCATAGGATTTCCTAATACTTTTGGACATTGTTTCAAAGAGAAGGAAATTATTGTAAATAACCAGGCATAACAGAATTGTGTTTTAAATTTAAAAAAAAAAGTATGAAAAGAAGATCAGAGAAGTGACTCCAAATTCCACTCAATTCCCAAAGAAGCTTCAGTCTGTAACCAGAAAGATTCACTCTCTGGGCCAGGTTGAATCCTCAAAACAAAACTGGATCAGGGACCTAGGCAGATATCCCAAGAACAGCAGATTCAAATGTCTGGCACCAGCTATAGTGACAAACCCTCTTGTCTTTTGTTCTTTCCCTGTTGGGAACTTCTAGGAATTTGCAGACTGAAGCCCATCTATAAATGTCAAGTTAAACATGTCCACTTTCAGAGAAGAGAAATGCCAACAACCGTTTAGTCTCTGAGGACAACACTTGTGAAGATACTATTTTATTTAGTGTGTAAGCAACTTCTTTATATGAGGTATTTAGTGGTTAGAAAGGAAAACTTGTTAATGGTAGAAAAATAACTTTTGGTAATTTTTAATAGTATGTAATTTAGTGGTATAGATTTTGATTGAAAGTGAAGCTACAGGCTGGGCGTAGTGGCTCACAGCTGTAATCCCAGCACTTTTGGGAGGCCAAGGCGGGCGAGTTATCTGACGTCAGAAGTTCGATGGCACCCTGGCAAAAATGGTGAAACCTAGTCTCTACTAAGAATACAAAAATTAGCTGAGTGCGATGGCAGCTGCCTGTAATCCCAGTTACTCAGGAGGCTGAGGCAGAAGAATTGCTTCAACCCAGGAGGTAGAGGTTGCAGTGAGCTGAGATCATACTACTGCACTCCAGCCCAGGTGACAAAGCAAGACTTCGTTTCAAAAAAAGAGAGAGTGAAGCCATGTAAGGACTTTTAATCTATATCTGGTGAAAGCAGAACTTTCAATTATCATAGAGTTTCTACTGTGTGACACAGAGTTGTATATTATTCTGTTATACAATTAATCCTCCAAAAAGGCTGGTTTTGGAGGCAAATGTGAGGCCTGATAATAGCCAGCCAAGTAATTTGGCAGAGGCTAGAAACAAAAACCCAAAGCAGCGCATTATAAAGATGGAATAATAAAGTTGGCAATAATGACGCTGCCATCCGGCGTTAATTGATGTGCAAAAGCACTCAGTTCCCAGGAGAAAAGAATTATTTAAATGCAAATTTTTATTATTACTACTACTTAAATTGTTGTAATAAATTCATGAAAATAAGACACCTCTCTAATTTAATGCATATATAAAACCTAATAAAATATTTATGAGCCACATCCAACAGTTTTATCATTTTGCATAAAAAATTGGTAAACATGATGAAACATTTCTTTAGTCCCAAGATCAAACATATTTGGTATAATTTAGAATCACACGAAGTGATTACAAATGCTATTTAGTTCGAAAACTATAGGTACCCTCACACACTCCCATGAAAGAACGAAAAGGTCATGCTTTGAAAAAGATTTTAGAGCCACTGAATGTCTTTTTAAAGCATGGGAAGAATAGAAATATTTTATTCTGACAGAGTAGTTTCTGACAAGATGATTTGGGTTTATATGAGATACACAGAACTATTCTTGTAGTTTTACTAAATGCCACAACACAGGATTTCTTAATATTTTTTACATCAACTGTACTACTTTAAGTCATCTGAGTAGAAGTGTCTGAATATATTATAAGCTTAGAAAATGGCATCTAAAAGCAATAGAGCATTATAGTGTGAATTAGGAAATTTTTCACATTTTGAAGGTTTCAAATGACTTGGTTTAATAAAGAAATAAAACTTGTAATACTTAGAAAATTGATGTTGAATGGGAAAAATAAAACAAAAAATATTGCTATTAATGACTTGGCATTTAGTACTTACATTATTAATGACTTTAAATGCTGGCATGTGATTCCCAGTTGTTTTAAGGTGACCCTACAAATGTGTGATTCCCTAGAGGCGTTTTTCTCTATCTCTGTTATGGCCTTTATCACTTGCTACCTTTTACATATTTATGTAAAAGTCTTTTTCTTCTCTAGGTCGAAAGTTTCTGGAGGATAAGAAGTGTATCTGGTTTATCTTTCATATCTCCATGGTGCCTGGCATGTGATTTACATATATTTGGAACTCAGGAAATATTAGTTGAGTGAGTAATTGAGTGCATTTGCTTTCAAGTATTATTCTCCAATAGAAGAAACAGTAAACCTTTTTAAAAAGTGTGTTTTACAACTTAAATTATTATGAATGTGAAAAACAACAGAAGAAAGGTATACCAATATGTTAATAGAAATTGGGTTAGGATAGTGGAATTATTGTCTTTTATTTTTTCTATTCTAACTTGTTTATGATATATTCTTTCTCTAATAGAGGGAATAAATAACAAAGTGACACTTAATATTCTACCAAGTTATATTACTTCATTAGAATTATGGTGACCTCTCACCATGACAGTGACATGCTCACCCTCACACTCCCCATCACTAACCTCCTCTTCTCTTCTGTTCTGTTTAGCTAATTAATGATGGAACAGGAACAACTTGGAAAAGATGGGTTTGGAAGGAGTGGGAAGAGATGGTGGAGCAGAGGGTAGGTTTAACCCTGAGATTCATTCATTCATTCATTGAGAAACACTGAGTGGTCTGATGCATGGGAAATGCTTGGGTCAGGTCCTAGCAGTAGGGGAAGAATTCAGAGGCCTTCAAGTCAGAGGCAGCAGCAGAGCCAACCACACTGTAGGTTGGCTCAGATACCCAGAGACCAACGACCAGATACCCAGAGACCAACTACCCAGATAACATTGCGTCGGATCCAGGGAGGAATTAATTCGAGATCACCCTGCACAACATAGCAAGACCCCATCTCTTAAAACAAATATTAGCTGGGTGTAGTGGCGCATACCATGGTAGTCCCAGCTAATTGGGAAGCTGAGATGGGAGAGTCACTTGAGCTGGGAGTTCTAGGCTGCAGTAAGCCATGGTCACGCCACTGCTCTCCAGCCTGGGTGATGGAGTGAGACCTCATTGCAAAAATAAATAAATAAAATTTAAAAATAAAATGTAACAACTGCCTAAAATGGAAAGGAACATCTTTTTAAAACATTTTAAAATTGTTATGGGTACATAATAGTCGTATATATTTATGGGGTACATGTGATATTTTGATACAGGCATTCAATGTGTAATGATCAAGTCAGGGTAATTGGAGTACCCATCACCTCACGTATTTATCATTTTTTTGGTATTAGGAACATTATAATTCCACTCTTTTAGTTATTAAAAATATGCAATAATTTATTGTTAATTATAGTCACTCTATTGTGCTACTGAATACTAGATCTTATTGATTCTAATTGTATTTTTGTACCCATTAATGATGGGTACATGTGCAGATCATGCAAGATTGTTGCATAGGTACACACATGGCAATGTGGTTTGCTGCCCCCATCCCCCTATCACCTATATCTGGCATTTCTCCACATGTTATCCCTCCCCAAACTCCCCACCCCCCCGCTGTCCCTACCTTGGCCCCCCCCACAATAGACCCCAGTGTGTGATGCTCCCCTCCCTGTGTCCATGTGTTCTCATTGTTCAACAACCACCTATGAGTGAGAACATGTGGTGTTTCATTTTCTGTTCTTGTGTCCGTTTGCTGAGAATGATGGTTTCCAGATTCATCCATGTCCCTACAAAGGACATGAACTCATTATTTTTTATTGCTGCATAGTATTCCATAGTGTGTATGTGTCACATTTTCCTTGTCCAGTCTATTGTCAGTGGGCATTTGGGTTGGTTCCAGGTCTTTGCTGTTGTAAACAGTGCTGCTGTGAACAAACGTGTGCATGTGCCTTTATAATAGAATGATTTATAATACTTTGGATATATACCCAGTAATGGGATTTCTGAGTCAAATGGAATTTCTATTTCTAGGTCCTTGAGGAAGTGCCACACTGTCTTCCACAATGGTTGAACTAATTTACACTCCTACCGACAGTGTAAAAGTGTTCCTATTTCTCCACATCCTCTCTGGCATCTGTTGTCTCCAGATTTTTTAATGATCACCATTCTAACTGGCATGAGGTGGTATCTCAGTCTGCTTTTGATTTGCATTTCTCAAATAATCAGTAATAATGAGCATTTTTTCATATGTTTATTGGCCTCCTATATGTCTTCTTTTGAAAAGTGTCTGTTCATATCCTTTGCCCACTTTTGGAGAGGTTTGTTTGTTTTTTTCTTGTAAATCTGTTTTAGTTCTTTGTAGATTCTGGATATTAGCCCTTTGTCAGATGGGTAGATTGCAAAAATTTTTTCCCACTCTGTTGGTTGCTGGTTCACTCTAATGATTGTTTCTTTTGCTGTACTTAAGCTCTCGAGTTTAATTAGGTCCCATTTGTCTATTTTGGCTTTTGTTGCCAGTGCTTTTGGTGTTTTAGTCATGAAGTCCTTGACTATGCATATGTCCTGAATGGTTTTGCCTAGGTTTTCTTCTAGGGTTTTTATGGTGTTAGTCTTATGTTTAAGTCTGTAATCCATCTAGAGTTAATTTTATTGTAAGGTTTAATGAAGGGGTCCAGTTTCTGCTTTCTGCACATGGCTAGCCAGTTTTCCCAACACCATTTATGAAACAGGGAAGCCTTTCCCCGTTGCTTGTTTTTATGAGGTTTGTCAAAGATCAGATGGTTGTAGATGTGTGGCGTTGCCTCTGAGGCCTCTGTTCTGTTCCATTGGTCTATATCTCTGTTTTGGTACCAGTACCATGCTGTTTTTATTACTGTAGCCTTGTAGTATAGTTTGAAATCAGGTAGCGTGATGCCTCTGGCTTTGTTCTTTTGCTTAGGATTGTCTTGGCTATGTGGGCTCTCTTTTGGTTCCATATGAAGTTAAGGTGGTTTTTCCAGTTCTGTAAAGAAGGTCATTGGTAGCTTGAATGGGGTAGTGTTGAATCTATAAATTACTTTGGGCAGTATGGCCATTTTCACGATATTGAATCTTCCTAACCATGAGCATGGAATATTTCTCCATCTGTTTGTGTCCTCTCTTATTTCCTTGAGCAGTGGTTTGTAGTTCTCCTTGAAGAGGTCCTTTACATCCTTTGTTAGTTGTATTCCTAGGTATTTTATTCTTTGTAGCAATTGTGAATGTGAGTTCACTCATGATTTGGCTCTCTGTTAGTCTGTTATTGGTATATAGAAATGCTTATGATTTCTGCACATTGACTTTGTATTCTGAGACTTTGCTGAAGTTGCTTATCAGTTTCAGGAGATTTTGTGCTAAGATGATGGGGTCTTGTAAATATACAATGATGTCGACTGGAAATAGAGACAATTTGACTTCCTCTTTTTCTAATTGAATACCCTTTATTTCTTTTTCTTGCCTAATTGCTTTGGCTAGGACTTCCAATATTATATTGAATAGC